TGATGCTGCTTGGCCTGCTGTGTTCATCCAGCCCTGCACCTTGTTGTTCAGGTACATAGTTCTTTTGAAATTTGCATCAGAGGTAGACAGGGTAGTTAAGAAGGCGTTTAGCACACTTGCCTTCATTATTGAGACCTCTGAGTATAGGAGTTGGGACGTCATGTTGAGGTTGTACTGGACATTGGTGAAACCTCTGGAGTACTATGTGCATTTCTGGTTGCCCTGTTATAGGAAAGATTATTATTAAATTAGAGAGGGTTCAGAAAAGATTTACCAGGATGTTGCTGGGAGTGGAGGATTTGAGTTATTAAGATAGGCTGGGACTTTTTTCACTGGAGTATAGGAGTTTGAGAGCTGACCTTTATGAAGGTTTATAACATCATGAAGGGCATAGATAAGGTGAATAGCAAGGGTCTTTTCCCTAGGTGGGGGAGTTCAAAACTAGGGGGCATATTTTTAAGGTGAGAAGAGAAAGTTTTAAAAAGGACATGAGGGCCACTTTTTTACACAGATGTTTACACAGTTCATGTGTGGAGTGAACTGCCAGAGGAAGTGGTAGATGCAGGTATATTTATAACATTTAAAATACATTTGGTTAAGTACTTGAATAGGCAAGGTTTGAAGTGATATAGGTCAAAAGCAGATAGGTGGGACTATTTTAGTGTGAGATTATGATCAGTGTGGACAAGTTGGACCAAAGGGTCTGTTTCCATGCTATATGACTCTGACTCTGAATATGTTATCTTTTAGATTATTTATTACAACAGGTGCTTTGTTAAAGCATACAAACTGCTTTGTTTCTAAGGGCAATGCCATAAGCCATTGAAATGTTCCTTTCTCTTTTGGTTTGGAGAGGAGGAGGGCACATTCAGGTTAAGGTAACACCCGTAAGTTAACTTACTGACACCATAAACTCTTGACATCAGCACTTGTATGATAAAAGCAATGATGTGCTGGCCCAATAAAAACAGTGCAGAAGTATGACTACCGTGGGCATTTATATATATTTAGCAGCATTGCACACAAACGATTGCTTTATGACATACCACCATAAGGTGGTTCAAGTCAAATTGTTATGCATTGAATAGTGAACTCAAAGATAGGATAGAATGGAACCAACATTCTGTTTATTATTTTCTAAAGGGTTGACACTTAGCTTAATTGATTACACTCAACAGTACACTTTTTCACAGCATGGATTTCCAAAACAAAGTACCTGCACAATAGTAATTTGTAAGTTGTTTGCCAACAGACATCATTTGCTAAAAGCCCTGTGTTTATTGATGATAGTGATAACATTGTTAAATATTAGCAATTGCAAACAGCATCAGCCAGTCACTGGTTGGAATGTTAAACACTATTAATCTACCATTCTAAAATTCTTAGGTGACCTTTGTCATGTGCTGGATCAAAGCCTATCAACATTGAGCTAAGTATTTTTTGTAGTTTGTGTATATAGTGCAAATTTTTATCCAAAACAAAGTTATTGTTCTGACCTAAATAGTGTGAAAACACTGTCTTACATGGTGTTTTTGGACACTTGGAAATTTGCTTTAGATTTGGAAGGTATTGATATAGCACCAAGTACTTTATCACTTAATAAAAGTATCTTTCAGTGGACACAGCATCCAAATTTGACTGAAACTGGGGGTGTGTGTTTGCGGTAGGGTGAAGGAAGATGTTGACGTCTGAGGAAAAGTTGACAAAATGAGCCTGTGTCCATTGAAGCTTAGAAGGACGAGAAGTGATTTTTTTTTGAAACAAGGAGAAACTTGACAAAAAAAACAAATAAAACCCCAATGAACTGTGAATGCTGGGAATTGGAAACAAAAACAGAAATTGTCAGAGAAACTCAGTAGGTCTGGCAGCATCTGTGGAGAGAAAGCAGGGTTAACATTTTGGGTCCAGTGACCCTTCTTCAAAACCGTAAATTTTTAAACTGTTTGTGAAGATGGATCACTGGACCCAAAACAAGAAGTTTGATGAGGCTGGCAGCAGTTGTGGAGAGGGAAGCAGTGTTAACGTTTTGAGTCTGGCATGACGTTCCTTAAGAACAGAGGGTAGATGCTGAAAAAGATGTTCCTCCTTTTAGAAATAGGAGATACAGAGGTCTCCAATTTAAGATGAAAATGAGGAGGATTTTGTTCTCTTTGAAAGTTGTGTATCTTTGGAACTCTTTTTCTTCCCCAAGAGTATGGTGGAGGAGGGTCATTGAATACTTTTAAGACAGAGGTAATAGATCTTTAACATAAGGGAGGCCATGGTTATTGTGGGGCAGGTGGGATTGTGGGGAGGCAATAGTCTAGTGGTATTATCGCTGGACTGTTAATCCAGAGACCCAGGTGATATTCTGGGGACCCAGGTTCAAATCTCGCCATGGCAGGTGGTGGAATTTGAATGGTGTACCTCAAGGATCTGTTTTGGGGCCACTGCTGTTTGTCATCTTTATAAATGACCTGGATGAGGGCGTAGAAGGATGGGTTAGTAAATTTTGCGGATGACACCAAAGTCGGTGGAGTTGTGGATAGTGCGGAAGGATGTTGCAGGTTACAGAGGGACATAGATAAGCTGCAGAGCTGGGCTGAGAGGTGGCAAATGGAGTTTAATGCGGAAAAGTGTGAGGTGATTCACTTTGGAAGGAGTAACAGGAATACAGAGTACTGGGCTAATGGTAAGATTCTTGGTAGTGTGGATGAGCAGAGAGATCTCGGTGTCCATGTGCATCGATCCTTGAAAGTTGCCACCCAGGTTGATAGGGTTGTTAAGAAGGCGTACGGTGTGTTAGGTTTTATTGGTAGAGGGATTGAGTTTCGGAGCCATGAGGTCATGTTGCAGCTGTACAAAACTCTGGTGCGGCCGCACTTGGAGTATTGCGTACAGTTCTGGTCACCGCATTATAGGAAGGATGTGGAAGCATTGGAAAGGGTGCAGAGGAGATTTAGCAGGATGTTGCCTGGTATGGAGGGAAGGTCTTATGAGGAAAGGCTGAGGGACTTCAGGCTGTTTTCGTTAGAGAGAAGAAGGTTAAGAGGTGACTTAATAGAGACATACAAGATGATCAGAGGATTAGATAGGGTGGACAGCGGGAGCCTTTTTCCTCGGATGGTGATGGCTAGCACAAGGGGACATAGCTTTAAATTGAGGGGTGATAGATATAGGACAGATGTCAGAAGTAGGTTCTTTACTCAGAGAGTAGTAAGGGCGTGGAATGCCCTGCCTGCAAAAATAGTAGACTCGCCAACTTTAAGGGCATTTAAATGGTCATTGGATAAACATATGGATGATAATGGAATAGTTTAGGTTAGATGGGCTTCAGATTGGTTTCACAGGTCAGCGCAATATCGAGGGCCAAAGGGCTGTAATGTTCTATGTTCTATGTTCAATAAATATCTGGAATTAAGAATCTAATGATTACCGTGAATCCATTGCCGATTGTTGGAAAAACCCATCTGGTTCACTAATGTCCTTTAGGGAAGGAAACTGCCATCTTACCTGGTCTGGCCTACATGTGACTCCAGACCCACAGCGATGTGGTTGACTTTTAACTGCCCTCTGGGCAATTAGGGATGGGCAATAAATGCTGCCTGGCCAGCGATGCCCTCATCCCATGAATGAATAAAGAAGAAAAAAATTGAAGCCGTGATCTAATTGAATGGTAGAACAGACTGGAGAAACTGACCAATTCCAACTATAAATTTGCATGCTGTTTGTATGTTTAGACACCAACCTTAATCACGTTGAACAAAAAATTTCATTTTCAGAACACTACTCAAACTGTCGAAATATTTTATGCCTGGATCTCCATTAATATATCTTGGGGTCGCACATAAAAGATTCCTCTAACATAGGTTTGGCATCAGTAATTAATAACTTTTCTTAAAAAAAAAACTATCATTTGGAATCACTTCCTAAAAAGGCCATAAAGCATTTTCAAAAGAAATGCTTACTCCAGTTCTTTTCTGTCTATCCTCCCCTAACATTAGTTACCGTAATAATTATTGAGCCTTCCCCAAGGAAATCTGGAATGTGTGCCCTTATGCTATTTAAAAAATAAAATAAACGGATATTGGCTCATTTCCCAGATACAGGGAATTATGCATAATGATTTGCTGTGAAGGAACAAAAATAAGAATATGCTTTTCTTCTTCCAATGTCTTCAAATAAATTTTAGTTTAGTTTTGAATATTTCCGGAAATGCTTTTCCTTTGTGAATGTGTCTGGTTGATAAGCAGATGAAGAACTGAGGTGAATGTAACTTCTTCAAGAGAGAAACTTTGGAACAAGGCTACTTCATGTGGCCCCCTCTCTGTTTGATGATATGGGGCAACGGGACTTGTGCTTGGGTAAACTCCCATTTACTAAACTTCCAATCTCAATTGTTCAGGCAGAGGAAGCAGAAGTTTAAAGCTGGAGGCAATTCAGCCAATAACACACCATCAGTGGTCTGACCCCGAAGAGGGATGAAGCAGCACTTGGGACTAGTTTGCCAAGCTATCTTCTGGTCAGTTATGGGGTTAGATTTTCAGTTTGGCGTTCGAAATTCCACACCTGTATCACTTCCTGAGCCCATGCCATGTTACTGCCACTGACTTCACAATTTTGATAGTGAAGTCCCTAATTATAAACGTATATATGAGCATACAACAACAAACAAGAGTAGGCCACTCAGCCCTTCGAGCCTGCTCTGCCATTCAATGACTTCATGCCTGGCCTGATGTTATGTTCAACTCTGCATTCCTACATATTCCCGAAAATCTTTCATCCCCTTGGTATTCAAGAGTCTATCTACCTCTGCCTTAGAAATGTTTAAAGAGTCTGCATCCACAGCCTTTTGAGGAAGGGAATTTCAAAGTCACTCAACCATGGTTAAGTTGGAGGAAATTCGTGAGTGCTTCCTGAAGATAGGAACTGCCTTCAGAGGGCAATTCCCACAGAGAGCATCAGCCATAACTGGGTTTGCTGTTGCCTTGCAGAATGGAGCAAGCAGGAGATCAGGAAGCCAACAGCCTTGTTGACTAAACAAATAGTAAATGCTCATTTATCTGAGTAATGGTAGTTAATCCACTTTTCTTAAGCAATAACAACCTTAGGAGACCACGAGCAGCCACCAGTATTTCACTTTTCCTTTTCTTCTCAAGTTCATAACTCAGCACAATGAACTGTGGCTTATGCTGTGTTCTTGATTTAGCTGTGCAAGTGTTTCCCAGAGCATGCGCTCTTCCTGTTCTTACCTTTTTGAAGCTTTCATTCTGTCTCTCACCAACTCATTATTAAGCTCTTCATTGACCTTACCAAGCAGTTAACTGCAGATATATGCATTGTCAGATGCCCTTCTCCAATCCTTCCCCTTCTTTTGAAAATGACAGTGTGCCATGGAGATGTGGGATGACTGTGCCAACTGACAGTGCTATTTTCAGAGCACACAGACAACTCGCCCCCTTGGGCAATGGAATTGTGTCCATTGTGTGTGTTTCAGAGAAATAGGGATTGTGTTTGAAAAAATCATTCCTCAAAGAATTTAACATTATACTCATTGTGAAATGGTCCCTGGGGATCACTTAAACATGGCATTGAATAACTGTTCCTTATTTATTGCGAGGCCAGCGTTGTAGTTGGGCTGCATATTTGAATTCCTTACTGATGGGTTGAGTGCATTTCCCTCTGTTTTTACTGCTGACGCAGAATGGGTTGGCTCTGTGGCAGTCATGTGGGTTTGCACATCTTGCTTACTGTTTGAGCCATCAATTTATGGAAGCCTCCATCATATCCTCATTGATGTATAAAGGGGCCAACCCTGAAATTGAGAATCTAGGATCTCGAGGTGTGAAATTCTGCAGACGTTTTCCCAGTTATAACTTTGAAAGCTCCCCAGAGATATGTTTTTCTTAGTGTGTGATTTTCATTGATGTATGTGATCCTTTTTATTTGACTGGAAAGCTTAAATGTATTAAACAGTGAATTCTGTGTACATATTATATTAAAGATTTGATTCGTAAGATAATTAAAACTAACTTATACACGTTACTGTGTGTTTAGAAATAGATTGTCTTGGTGCAGTGTTATTGTGTTACAGTCCAATGGAGTACTATCACTCAAACTTAAATAGTCTATGTGATTACATGTTTGTATTATATTTGATTTTATTGTGTGATTTAACATTTTTTCTTCTTCATTTCAGGCAGCCAACAGTTATCTGCGAGATCAGTGGTTTCATTCGTTGCAGTGGAAGGTATGTAGATGGACAAGTGCCTAAAAATTGCTGATGGGCATGTTTGTGTAAAAATTGACTTTTCAAAGCGGAATGGAGCCGGGCAATTTAGTATGAGTTTGAGAGCTGTCTACAGTAATGGCATTTAACATTCAAAACTTTGGGGCCTTGCATATTTATTCCAAAACTCTGTGCTACAGAAGAGAGAGAACCAGGTTCAATCCTTCAAACATATGCATGGTAAGTTGTTATTCATTGACAAATAATAACTCTCAAAACAGAGACAACATTGGTTGGTGTATTGACCAGAAACCATAGCAATGATGATTGGTTAAAGATTGCACTGTTGGCAGTGTCCCTAGAGCAGATAACTTGGCTGCTTCTTTGACAAAACCAAAAGTGATAAGTGAAAAGCAGAACGCTTTGATGCAAATATGCAAGCCAGACTTCCCCAGTTTTGGCAATCAGTTGGCTGTCATCTTATAGTGCGCACACCAAACTGATGCAAGTTCACTTCGGGAACGTGAAATGTTTTTTTTGCATAAGAAAACTTAAGGACAACAGCTTGGAATGGATAAATGTGAATCATTGATTTTAATTTGGAAATAAATGTGCCTCTCTTAAACATAATTTCATATTTACGCCCGAGAATTGTTATTGTGATCTGAAAGAATCTTCATCCATTTAGTTTTGCAATTCATCTAAGGTGACAAAAGGTGCTACTCCGAAGATGATGTGGGCTTTGTAACCCAGAATACATGAGATAGGCCATGCACAACAGAAGCAAGACTTTCATTATTATATAAAGGACACACAGTAACCAATGATTGTGATACAGAAAAATGACAGGTGAAATCCTTGTTAATTAACATACCAGTTCTAATATGTTGATGCATGTGTTTATTATTAATTATGACCTTCCTTGTAAATACAACTGGATGGAAATTCGATATATCTTTTTCTAAATGAACATGGATTAAAAGAAAATCAAGTCCTGCTATTTGTCACAGTTATTAGATCTTAAACTAGCAACAAAAATATTATCTCTGCAGTTCAGTTACTGTGCAAATTTAGCTTCATTGTTATTGGGTCTGATATACAAGACTGGTGAGCGTCAGGACTCACAACACCAAAGAATGTCATTCTCAATGCTGAGGAACTACCCAAGAAGTACTATTTCTATTTCCTCTCATGCTGTCCTCATGGCATTAAACCTTTTGAGTATTGGTACTTTATCGTGTCTGCATAAATACTAGCTTTCGGAGTCTTACTCCTTCTTCAGGTGTGGACCCCGAAACCTTGTGTTTTAAAATAAACCTGTTGGACCAGAACCTGGTGTTGTGTTATCTTTGACTTTGTCTACCCCAGTCCAACATCAGCACCTCCACATCATGCATGAATACTGCAAGTTTCCAATTATGTATCTTAGACTCTTGGCAGTTAGAGATTGATGGAAAATTGGAAAACCATGTTACAACAACATCCAATCCTGCCCTCAACATTCTTCTCACACTTCAACTCAGGAGTTTTTGATAAGGCATCTGGTAGGGAATTCTAGCTAAATTTTTTCCCCCTGAATCTAGAGATTCAGAGGTCAAATACAGTGAAATTAACAATACCCTAATTGAGGGACAAGTAACTTTGCAAGGGCCAGAGTGGAACTCTTGGAACATAGAGGTTTGTATGGTTTAGGAGCCAGTAGGGTTAATTTTGACTTTGTATGGTACAGTAAAATGAATGAGAGTCAGCCTACAGCTCAAATTACATCTCACTCTGTTAATATTTCCATTGACAATAATGGAAATAAAATTCAGGAGAGATGGAAAATAAGATAAGATATAGGAGCAGAAGCAGGCAATTTGGCCTATCGACTCAGCTGTGCTGTTTGGTCATGGCTGATATGTTTCTCAACATCATTCTCTTGTCTTCTGTCCAAAACCCTTGATCCCCTCATTAATTAGGAACCTTTCTATCTCTGTCTTAAAAGACGGTCAATGACTTGGCCTTCACAGCCTTCTGTGGCAATGAATTCCACAGATTCACCACCCTCTGAGGGAATTCTTCTTTAGCTCATTTCTAAAGGGTCATCCCATCATTCCTGAGGTCATGCCCTTGGGTCCTAGTCTCCTACTAGTGGAAATATCTTTTCCACATCCACCCTCTCCAGGCCTCTCAGTATTCTGTAAGTTTCATTCAGATTCCACCTCATCTTTCCAAACTCCATCAAGCAGAGATCCAGAATCCTCAACAGTTCCTCAAGACAAGCTGTTCATCCCCAGACTCAGTCTTGTGCATATCCTCTGAACCCCCTCCAACTACAGCACGTCCTTCCTTGGATACAAAGACCAAAACTGCTCTCAGTATTCCTAATATGGTCTGACCAGACTCTAACACAGCCTCAGCAATACATCTCTACTTTTGTATTCTAGTCCTTGCGAAATGAATGTTAACATTGTGTTTGCTTTCCTAACTGCCAACTGAACCTGCATGTTAACCTTAAGAGAACCCTGAACTAGGACTTCTAAATCCCGTTGCGCTTCAGATTTTCAAAGCCTTTCTCCATTCAGAAAATAGTCTGTGCCTCTATACTTCCTACCAAAGTGCACAGCCTCGCACTCTCGCACATTGTATTCCATCTGTCACTTCTTTACCCCCTTTCCTTGCCTGTCCAAGTGCTTTTGCAGCCTCCTGTTTCCTCATCACTGCCTGTTCCTCCACCTATCATTGTGTCATCTGCAAACTCAGTAACAATGTCCTCAGTTCCTTTGTCCAGATTGTTAATGTATAATGGGAATAGTTGTGGTTCCAACACTGACCCCTGTGGAACTCTACTAGTCACTGGCTGCCACCCTGATAAAGATCCTTTCTGCCCCACTCTGTCCTCTACCAGTCAGACAATCCTCTATCCATGCCAGTACCTTCTCCTTAACACCATGGGCTCTTCTCTCATTTAGCAAACTCCTGAAAGGCTTCTGGAAGTCCAAATAGATCACAACCACTGGCTCTCCTTTGTCTAACTTGTTCCTTGCCTCCTCAAAGAATTCTAATAGGTTTGTCAGGCATGATATTACCTTGATGAAGCTGTGCTGACTCCACCCTATTTCACCATGCACTTCCAGGTACTCCATGATCTCATCCTTAATGATGGACTCTCATATCTTACCAACAACTGGGATGCTGACTCGAAAGTGCCTTTTACACTAAGATCAGATCCCTTGATCTCAAAAACAAAGGGACAGAGAGTAAAACTGACAAAATCTATCAGCAATCTTCAATTTGTAACCATAGTTTTTCTGTTTTTCCTGGATTTCCTAGGTATATAGTGGATCAGGAGCATGATTTACTGCCACTCTGCTAAGCTTGTTTAACTTGGTAATCATAAATGCATTGGAGCTCAGCAGAAATGATTTTGCAAAGTAGTGAGAGAGAAGTTGGCCAGGCTCTTTTTTGTGGATCAACTTTAAACTGGAAATAACCAGTTCACTGGAGCATTCGCTAACATGGGTGCACTGGTGTCCAAATCAGCAGCTAATGAGTGCCCGAGACAGTTGTCCAAACTGGTCTAAGGTCACTTGAATGTGGTGTTTGGAAGACTAATGCCTTCTTTAAAGCCTCATCGCCAAATGTACTAGAAACTGAGCAGAAAATACATGTGACTGCGACCTAGCCCCTGGCCTCTGAAGGGATCGCTGGAGGCTACTGAAGAACATTTGGATTTCTTTATTCCCCTTAACTGTGGGGTGAAGAGCAGAATTGCCAGTCCTCATTTGGCCCTGTCTGTCTCCTGTCCAAGCACCACACACAGCTACATCGTGCTGCTGAACTTATCAGCGTTGAAACATTAAACCCAGAAAGTGCTTAATTCAAGCATTACATATTGGGACACATTACTGTCTCACTTAACTTACAGGTTATTACATTTAAAATGTCCCTCATTTAATTTCATTTCTCATCACTTCTAGCTGTAATTTCAAAACTCAAACTAACTGCTGCTCAATTTATATTAAATAGTGGCCAAATGATTGTCCCTTAAGATTGAGATTGCAATGTGTATTGAAGCCATGAACATTAACAAAAATATCATTTTTACACTGTTGCTGCAGCAATTGATGAAAACAATTCCCTTTTGATGGAAACATATGAATTAGGGTCCTATCTCAGGAGATCAGGAAGACACGCCCCTCACATTTCTGTCCATCCATAAAGCAAGTTTCTCTAATTTTGGTTAGGGCTGCTTTAAAATGCATTCTGTCTGTGGTTTGTCTAAATGTGTGGATCTCCTTTCATGGAAATGTCAGTGTTCTAAGTGAGATGCAAGTAAATATACTGTAGGAAGCTCCTACAACTATCAAAGCAGCCAGCTTTTAAAGCAAAGAATAAACACTGCATCCTTGCATCTCATAAATTATCTTGTTGTGCATGACATTTTATTAATAGGCTTGGGCATTGCACCTGAGCCTGTTGATGTGGCTTGTCTCAAGAGATACCAAGCAGTGTGTATCCTAGGTACTTCAGGAGCAAATTAAACATCTCTTATCCTCTTTGTTTGGTCTGTCTACACTCTGCTTTTCATAGGCGGTTGACACAGAATTTCCATTCTCATTCTAAGGATCAAAGGAACCAAGTGCTCAAAGGCATTTGAGTATGTTGCTTGGCACATAAAGTTGTACCATCCCTTTTTCTTTCTTTGTGTCTGTATTTCTGAAATATATCAGAGGCTCTGCAGGTAACATGGGATAGGAGATGTTAGAGGGCTGGATTTGAATTGGTTCTTGACTATGAATTCAAAGGCACTCTTCTGCCTGTAAAGTCCTAGGAAATGTGGAATAAAAAATATAAGTATCAGGAGAGTAATGTTGCTTGCAGGTACAGGTATTCTCCTTCAAAAATTGAAGGACTCCTGACTCTAATGGACTTCTAATATTCTGCCAGCAATGAAGATTTCTTCATCCTGAGTTGCTGTCTGTACAGCAGCATGGAATAAGTAGCACAGGTTGCATAATCTTCCTTACCCGGCAAAC